TCAAACTTGGGTCCTTGCACTTGCAAGGCAGGTGGTGTAACCACTGAGCTAAATCCCCAGCCCTGCCTCAGCCTTCTGAGTGCTGGATTCCAAGTGCGCACTAGCACACCCTGCTCATTATCCTGTTACCCTGATACACACTGCACCCCTGCCCACTTCCCTGAGTGACCAGTGTGGCTGTGTCCAGGGAGCTGTGCATGCCACTGTCATAACACGGACCTCACGGGGCACTTTTGAAAATCTGACTCCCAAACAGGCACAGCCTGGAAGCCACTTCCCCAGTCTGCACCGAGAGGTGGAACTTGGCTTCCAAGCACTTGGGGCAGGGGTTGCCCAGTTTGTTGCCATGGTTACATCCATTCAGTTTGGGCCCAGCCTGGGCAATCTGGCTACTTAGGGAGACCCTGTCTCAAAATATAAAAATAAAATGAGGCCTCCTGCCTAGCCAGGGGTGGGAAGATTGCCTAGGGGCCAGAGTGAACACCTTGCAAAGCAAGCAGAGCGTGGCCTTCCTGTTTAACTCCCGTCTGTCTTATTCCTGCTGAGGCTGTAGTTGGCATCTGAGTTTCCTCTGAAATTCCTCATTAATAGTGAATGATCAAGCCTCCCGTGTGCAGAAAATCCCGTTAAACTGTATTTCTCTCCTGCTTTTCATGGAGCTAAAGATTACTGGTTCTGACTCCGGTGCTTCTGTAAATACACGCGCTGTGGTCTCATATCCGGAACTTTGAGACAGTGTCTTGCTCCATTATGTGGTTCTGGGACTCAGAGCTAGAATGCTACATACTGGGTCTGAATCTGCTGAAGGTCTCAAAGACAATGCAAAGAAATTGAGCAAAGCCCCCATTAGCCATTTTGACTCTTTCTTTGGTCAGGAAGTTCACCCGTAGTTAAAATGTCAAAAAGTTCCATATCCCTGCACAATACCCAGTTAGCAGGCAGGCAGCACAATCCCATCCCGTTGCCTCCATCGGAAAGCATTGATTTGTTTATCTATTTATTTATGAGACGGGGCCTTGCTAAGTCTCCAAGTTGCCCAGGCTGAGCTCAAATTTGAGATCCTCCTGTCTCAGCCTCTCAAGTGCTGGAATTACAGGTGTGTGCCACTACACTGGCCATATCTGCACTTCTAAACAAGACTGTACCGTTGTAAAAATTCAAAGCCCTTGCTGTTTGAGCATATGGGCAACCACGTGGAGGCCGTGGGGGGGGGTGGCCCACGAGTTCACGGAGCGAATTTTTCAGCGCAACAGCATCACTGCACCCAGATGTCTGCTCCCCGGGGAGAAGGGAACAGGCCGCACGGCACCCCACTCCCGTACCTGGATGGACACCCGCAGCGCGGCGCGGCTCACCAACACGGTGCACACGCGGGACGCTGGCTCTGGCTCCCCGCCCGGCGTCTCCGGCTCGTGCTTCTGCCCCACGATGACACCCACGGGCAGCGCGAGGCCCAGCGAGGCGACCCAGACCAGCGACAGCAGGCGGCGGGTGCGACGGGGCGACAGCAGGCGGCGGGCGCGCAGAGGCTGGCACACGGCCAGGCAGCGCTCGGCGCTCAGGGCGGCCATGCTGAGCACCGTGGCCAGGGCGCACGTCTCGCGCACCAAGTGGAAGGCGCGGCAGCCCAGGTCGCCGAGGGCCCAGGGGCCGTGGCGCCACACGGAGCTGTAGAGCTCCACGGGCAGCGGCCCCAGCAGCAGCAGCAGCGAGGCCCCGGCCAGGCTCAGCACGTAGTGGCGCAGGCGGCCGGCGCGCGTCTTCAGCACCACGCGCACGGACAGCGCACTGCCCGCCGCGCCCAGAGCGCCGGTGACCGCGTACAGCGCCACCAGCAGCGCCCGGGGCCCCACGCGCGTGTCCGCGCCCAGCCGCGCGTCCAGAAGGCTCGGCCCCGCGCGGGGGCTGTTCGGCTCCATGGCTCTCTCACCGAGCGCCCTCGCCTCGCCCGCCCCAGCTGGGCGCGCTGCCCGGTCCCCGGAGCCTCCTCCTCCCCGGGACGCAGCGCACCCGCCTCCCCGAGGGGGTCCCCGAGCGCCGGCCGCGCAGGAGCCCGCGCTTCTCCATCCCGGGGCACGCGCGGGGGGAAGGCGCTGGACGCCCCCACTTCCCAGCCGGGGCCCTCGGGCAGATTTTTCAACCTCTCCGAACCAAACTCCAGCGCTAAGAGTGTCCACACTGCGGCCTCGCGGGGCGGATTGCAGGAGACCCCGGCCTTGGCCATGGCGCGGGCTGCGGCTGTTGTGCGCAGGGTCCGGCCCAGGCGCGCGGGGGCGGGGGGCTCCCTTGGGCTCCCCTGGGCTCCAGCACCTCGCGCATGCTGCGGTTCTTGCCGAGGGACTGCGCAGCGTTGCACAGTAGCCTAAAGGACCCCTTGGTCGCCAGCAGATCCGTCCTCCAGCCGTGGTAGGTGTGTGGCCTGCCTCATGACGGTACCATTCGCATGGAGTCCTGGGCCAAAGTGAGACTTAAATTGGACCTGCTTTAGACATCCCACTGGTTCCTTTCTAAGAACACCAGAACTTTGGAGCTGAAAGACCGTTTATTTATTTGTTTTTTGGAGTTAGGGTCTCTCTGTGTAGTTCAGGCTGGCTTCGAACTCACTGTGTAGCCCAGGCCAGCCTCAAACTCGTGGTGATCCTCCTGCCACAGCCTCCTGAGTGCTGGGGTTACAGGCATGAACCACCATGCCCTGGAAGATATTAGAGGCCTGTCTCATTGCCAAGATGCCTGGAGTTTTATGGAAACTAGATTTCCTAGCTAGTTACCCTGTGCAAAGATCAATTCAGCTCAATTATGAAATCAGCTTATATGCCCACCAACAGATGAATGGATAAATAAAAGTAGTATTTACACACAGTGGAGTATTATGCTGCCATAAAGAAGGGTACATTTGAGGCATTTGTAGGAAAATGGACAAATCTTGAGACCATTGTGTTAAGTGAAATAAATCAGACTCACAAATTTAAATACCACATGGTTTCTCTTATACAGGAAACCTAAAGTATAAATAAATTAAACAGCAAAATAAAAGATAGAGGATAAAGAAGAGAGTTTTTTTGATAGAGATGTGAAGGGGATGTGGGAGTGGAGGGGGGACACTCAAGAGAGAGGAGGAAAAGGGGAAGTAAAAACGATCGACATGTGATATGTATGTGCACTGATTCCCCATAGTGAATGCACTTATTATGTTTCACAAACTTGAAGTCATAAACACAGGCAGAGTCGAGCAATCAAGAGGCTGAGGCAGGAAGGTCGCTGTGAGCTCAAGGCCAGCCTGGGCTGCATAGTGAGACCCTGTCTCAAAGGTTTAAAAAAAAATCACAAAGACTTATTAAATTGGACTCCAGTGGCCAAAGAAAAAAATAGCAAGAGCCAACAAATGGGGTGCTGGGGATATAGCTCAGTGGCACCTCGCCTGCCTCAAAAGCACAAGGTCCTGAGTTTGATCCCCAGTATGAACCAACAAGTGAACAAATGGGACTACATCAAACTGAATAAATACACAACAAAGGAAAATAATCAGAGTGAAGAGAGCCCACAGAACGGGAGAGGTTTTGCCCCCTGCTCTTGTGAGGCACCCGGCTCTCGGCCTCGAGTTGCTCTGAGTCGACAGTGCCTGGCAGAGGTGCTCAGGGGCGGGCTGGTCCCTTCCCCACCAGACATCCGACCCGGGCCTTGATCCTGGCTGTCACTTCCCAGGTCCTGGCCCATCACCAGGATAGGCTCTCGGGGCTGTCACAACAGCCACATACACATCACCCTGCACAGGCAGCCGAGGGCCGTGAGAGGACCCTGCCCTGTGCTCCAGGCTCTGCTGTGACCTGGCTTCCTGTCCCCGGGGATGGCTGCCTGCCAGGCGTCACAGTGCGACTCCTCACCACCTTATCGCTCCTTGGTCATGAGTTTCTTAAAATATCTCGGCAGGACGGATTAAAATAGCAAGGGTACTGGTGACCTGGTGTCCGGCCGGGTGGGCACTCGCCCTGCACCGGGTGGGGACCCCCGGGGCCTCAGACACCAGGGCCACGCTGCTCTGAGACAGGTGTGGGATCCAAGCAAGGCCTGGGGCAGAGAGCCAGCTTGACTTGCTGGGTGCTGCCTTCCACACCAACAAAGGGAGGTCGAGTCAGGAAGCTGGGTCCATCCCGAGGCAGTGGCTTCTGGCAGGAAATGTCCTTTGCTGACCTCGCTCCTTTCCCCAGCCTCGTCTGGGCCCTCAGTGAGCTGAGTGGCAGCCTTGAGCTGGGGGTGGGGTTCTGGGGATTGAACCTGGGCTTTTGCTCGGAGTTACATCCCTAGTGCTTTTTGTTTATATTTTGAAACAGGCTCTCGCTAAGTCACTAAGTTGTGGTCTTGAACTTGTGATCCTCCTGCCTTAGCTGCCCACAGTGCTGGGATCAGAGTGTGCACCTTCCTGCCTGGCTCCAGGCCAGTATTATTCCCAAAGTTCCTTCCCTCAGCCCTGCATGGGGTGCCAGCCTTTCTTCCTGTCATGGCCTGGCAGTGCTCTCTGCCCCAACCCTTGCCCCGACCCTGTGCCTCTCTCCCAAGGCCACCTGTCCCCTGAGCCCAGAGGAGGAAAAAGAGCAGGAGGGCCAGAGCCAGCCTGACCTGAGTCCCCGGCCTGCTCTGCCACTCCCTGCGAGGAGACCAGGTGTTCTCCCACTTCTTGTTAGGGTTTTGTTTTTGTTTTGAGACAAGGTCTCACTATGTGGCACAGGCTGGCCTGGAACTCACGGTGACCCTCCCGTCTCAGCCTCTGGAATGCTGGGATCACAGGTGGCCACCACCGCACTGCCTGGCTCTGCAGCTCAATTCTGTCTTAGACCCATGTGGCCCTGGGGATGTGGGTGCTCAGCGTCTGAGTCTCCCCAGGTGGCTCTGGATGCCCAGAGTGGGACCTCGACTCATGGGCAGGAGTCGGCATCCCCTGTGCCACATCCCGGGCACAGCCTGCCGGCCAGCACCCGCTGGGAGAAGACACACCACCTGACACCGCACTCTTGCCGGCCTTGTGACCTGGCCGAGCTCCACTCAGTGCCAGGGAAGGAAGCACTGCTGCCCTGGGCTCCGGTGTCGCCCCGCAGAGGGACAGTTCCCTCCTGGCCCAGGGAGGAGGTGGCCACACCCTGGCCAGCCATGGCGGATCAGGACGGCGCCTGCAGCTCAGACTGGGGCGGTCCGCAGGGCAAGGGGCCCCTGGATGCCGCGTGGTCGTGGGTAAGGCCGGGCCTCGTGGCTTCTGCAGAGTCTCCAGTCAGAGCTGCAGGGCTGAAGGGGGCTCTGCATGTTCCAGAGGAGAGGCTTGCTTGCTCTTGGGGCGCCTGTTTCTTGGGGCTGCAGTTAGTACTTATTCAGGAACTCGCCAGGCTTGGTGATGCACACCTGTGAGTCTGGGAGGCTGAGGTGGGAGGATCATTGATCTGAGTCCAGCCTGGGCACCTGAGCAAGATCCTGTCTCAAAATAAATCAAACAAAGGCAGCCCTGGGAAGGTGGCTCAGTGTGAAGGCCCTGCCTGGCTTTGTCCCGTGGGACAAAAACACAGAATTGAAGTCGTGTTCTTCGCTTGGGTGGAGCAAGCACAGCGATGCTGGGAGATCCTGGGTGTACTAAGGGTGTGGGGGCGACACCTTGTCTTCGGCATGTGCCGCTGTGGCCCCCGGCAGTCTGCCCAGTGACACACAGGGCTCCCAAGCCCGAACCTGTTGGCACGGCCCATTGGAGACCTCATCCTAGAGGCCACCCGGGGTAGGGTTTGTTTGGAAGTAGGTATTTTCATGGAAACCCGGAGCAGAAGTGGAGGAGGGCAGCTCCCTCTGGGGATGGCTCAGGGGAGGGGGTGGCTGCAGGGGTGACAGGTGTCGGGGCCTCGCTCCACACGGGCATCCCTGATGCCCTGGTCCGTGGCTCTGCTCCAGCTTTGAGGGGCTGGTCCCGCGCAGAGGAGCAGAGAGCACCCAGGAAGGAGGGTCCCTCTGCTGGTGCCTGAAGCGCCCGCCCCCCGTCACTCTGCAGTGCTCCGGGGGTTGCTGTTTTCTTTATTTATTTTTAAAATTTTTGGTCTCACTGTCACTAAGATGGCCAGGCTGGACTGGAAGTTGGGACCCTCCTGCCTCAGCCTCCTAGAGTGCTGGGATCACAGACATGCAACACCAAGTCTGGGTGTAGATGGTTTTGTGGTTTGTCGAGGATGGAAATGGCCTTGTCTGCCCTGCCTGGCGCCGACTGCGCTGTAGCTTCTGAAACAGTCGGGGCTGGCCTCCTGCAAGTCGAGGCCACACCCACGCAGGGCGAGTCGCCCTGGACATGACCTAGGGCCTCCCTCTCCTGGTGCCAAGCGGGAGGCCGGCACTCCCCCGTAGCAACTGCAGTTCCCAGGGCACCCTCTTCTCCCCCAGGCCTCCTTACGGGGTCTGTGATCCGAGCAAGCTCTGGTTAATATCTGATTTTCCCTTTTTTATTGATTATTTGTTATTTCGCATGATTACAAAAGCATGTTCAAGCCCAGCGCGGTATCACACGCCGGTCACGCCAGCACTCGGGCGGCTGAGGCGGGAAAATGCTGCCCTTCTGAGCCCAGCCTGACCTTGTCTCAACCCCCCACATAAAAAGCGTGAAAGTGCCCCCAAACCAGAACGCCGGCCTGCGGAGGAGGCTGTGGGTGATCACTGCACGGCACAGTTTTGTAAGCGGGGCTCAGCTTCATTCCTTGAAGGGTTTGCTCGTGGATCTGCGGAAGGGACTTGAAATTCATCTTTTTGTCCGTTTACTCCCCACCCCCACCCCGGGCCCGTGGGTCTGAGGAAGGAGCCCGATCTGGGGCCTGTGAAGCCGGACAACTCCTCACAGGCCCGGGGCTGCGGCACGGGTCGGGCACCCTGCGGCTCACCGCGCCAGGGGCCTGGGGGCGGGTTCTGGCCGCCCTGTTCCTCCCCGGAGGGCAGCGGCCCTGGGAGC